TGGAAGAAAGCCAGTCATCTTCAAAAACATGGAATAGCATGCCTTTGATTCTGGCCTAATCTAATGCAGTCCAGGTAGAAACCTTGCATGCATACATACATACATAAAAATAAACGAACAAACGAACAAACGAATGAATGAGCCAGTTTGGTGTAGTGGCTAAGGTGATGGACTAGAAACCAGAAGACCATGAATTCTGGTCCTCCTTTAGGCACGGAAGCCAGCTGGGTAAGTTTGAGCCAGTTGCTCACTCCCTCAGCCCTCCTCACGTCACCAGGTTGTTGTGGGGAAAGTAGGAGAAGGGAGCATTATGCATGCCACCTCATGTTATACAATATAAAGGTGGGATATAAATCAAATATGTAAATAAAACAAAAATATGATAGGACATTGATTCATTAATCAATTATTTGAAGTAGTAGGACATTTCACCGTAACTTTCAAGAAACTTGTGGGAAATGACTGCAACAGTATCCTTGGCACTAGTAATTGTTATTATTAAAAGATAAACAGAAATCAGCATCACCTGCTGCAAAATGTGTTCAATGGTACAATATATTCAAATCTGTTTTACTATTTGTACTAAGCAATTTGTTCACTACAGTAAACTATGCCATACAGATGAAATTCATCAGTCTACTAAGCAGAACCCAGTCTGATAGTGTCCAAGGACTGTTTTCAAAGTAGGATTAGTGAAAGTATATGAGAGATGGCCAGAAATATAACAGAAATGCCAGTTTAACTGAAACGAAGTGGGGTCTGAAAATGATTTTGTTCTTTTCCTAAAATATGGTATGTAAATTAAAAATTGGCTAATTGGGGGGATGATGCCTGTTATTAACAAAAATCTAGTGAATCTAATATGACATCTTTCTGCGAATGATATCAGTTTACACAAAATACAGTTCCATCATTTGCATAATGGCATAATTATATAATGGCAGCAGAATTTGGTCCATTACATGCAAGTCCACTGTACTGAAGTCCAATAAATTTGAAGTTTTACTCCATAAAACTTTAACTGTAAACATATTTTTAAGCTATACATGGTGGCTTGCTGATTGCGTAAAATATTTATTTATCAAAATAAATAATAATAAAAGCACACATAAAATTTAAGCTTACCGATTCAGTGCAAAGGCATAGTGAAATTTGATATTGTGCTGATCAGCCAGATCACAAGTTGGGAGCATTTCCAGTGTCTCCACCAGTTTCACCATAGCATCATAATCCTAGCAGTACAAAAGGGTAATAAAATATTTATAAACAAAACTCATACATCAAACATTTCTTCTTTTCCTACTTTGCAAATGTGGCCATGACCAACAATTCCTAAAAAATGTATAGTTTTTGTCCCTAGTAATTGATTCATCACAACAAAATCTGCCAGCAAGATGCTCTTTAGTTACAGGGAACTATATAACTCTGAAGTGGCCAGGATTTAGGAATTTATGCAATCTTGAACAGAATTTGTCCCTGCTTTTGTTGACAAGTCACTAGTGTTACTCTTCTAGATGGATGACCTCTCTCTTGAAGTATTAATCTATTTCTAACTGTGAGAAAGTCAAAGTGAAATGTAAAAAGTAGCCTTATAAGTAATCTCTTTGCAGGGACAGCAGATACGTAGTATATATGCTGAAGGTCACAGAGTTGGATAGTACTCAGATTGCATAACAACTGTTTATGTGATTCATTTCCTCAACTTCAATTTAAGACTGATGAATATCATAAAGAAAGACACAAAAATGTACAGCCAGTTAGGAAAAGTAGTTCTGAACTTAAATTCTCACCTTTTAAAACAGATGTCTTAAAAGATGACAATTCAAGTTCAGAACCATCAAAACCATAAATGGGTGATTTCTGCATTTTCAAGTAAAAGTGACATACCTGGATATCTCTATAGGATAGGAGTAAATTGATTATAATGTCAGAAGTCAGGACTTCAGTATTATCCATACGAAGTTTAATCCTAGCCAGCTCTTTTGCAAGTTCTTCTCCTTGATATTTCTCTCTAGCTTTTCTGATGTCATTTAACAGACTTTCCTTATAATATGTACTAAGGAATTAAGCACAATAGGAACACAAGTTATTTAAACAGATGCCTAGGCATATTAAAATACAAAACATTGAAACTTTGGCTTTAGCTTCCCTGCAGGATGGTTATTAATTAATGAATTCAATTTGTATAGCCGCCCATCTCAGCACGTTGTTGGTGAGTTATCTTCTGAAAAGAATTAAGAAATGTTATGGAGAGATTCTATGTTTCCATCTAGTTATAATAAAATCCCTGTGCAAAATTCAAACTTTGAGTATGGAAATCTACATTTCTATATGGTTTGCTGTACATTCATTCAAAGCTAATCATACTTGAACCTGATATGAATAGAAACTGCTTACCCCACAAATGAGGTGACCATAGACTATGACATGTTAACAAAATTTAATGTCACAGTTTCTAAACTGTAACGGTACAGTTACAATATTTCTGTTATTGTTACAATATTCCAATTAGATGATGATGATGACCCTACCTTCTTGCTACGGTGACTAGTCAATGCAACTAACAAAAACAAAGCAGAACAGAGCATAACAAGTTAAAATAAAGATTAAAATTAGCAATAAAATAAATACTAAAATCATGTAATTATGGTGAAAAGGCCTGGTCTTTATGGATTTACTAAACAATGAGAGACTGGGACATATGCAATACTTGAGGGAATGTATTCCATAACACAGCAGAAACATAGAAAAAGACCATCTCTTATATGCCAAACTACAAGCATCTAACTGGAAAAGTGGAGGGGGTGTCTCTTCAAAAGATCCTACTGATTTTGACAATCAGTCAGGTCCATAATAGGATAAGTGGTCCCTTACATGATTACATTACATTAAAGGTTTACACCAACTTCTTAAGGTATGCCCAGTAAGCAGCTGGCAATCTGTGTAGTCCTGATATATTACATTTTCTTCTGAAAGCTGCATCATGCAAACAACTAGTTAATATATTAGCTTATGATTCACTCAATTTTTTTTTTTACTCACTGAAATATTATTTGTGGTCTGTAAATATTCTTATAAGGTATTTCATTTCTTATAAAACTGGGATCAGGAACTTGTGCCTTACTAATGTCATAAAGACTTCAACACCTAAATAGTCCAAAATAGTAGGGATGATGAGACTGGATGATGGGACTGGTAGTTCAAAAACAGCTGAACTGCAAATTGCCCACATCTATTTAAATTTAATGGGAATACTTTTTACTAGTTTCAGAAATAGAAAGAATCAATATTTTCAGTCAAACTAAGATTACCTTCACTGAAAGTAATGCTATAGGGATTACAACACCATTTGCACTTAAGTGGGAATAATGCCAATGAATTCAGTGAATTTAATTTTTATTATAGCTTAAGTATGTGTGCTCAGACCAGTGATTCACTTCTTGCATTGGTTTTAATGGGACTTAGTTGTGACTAAGTGGTATAGAAGCTAAGCTAGTATGAATGTAAGTAGATCCATTAAAAGTTTTATTTATTAATTAATTCAATTTGGCCACTCAATGTGCAACTCAGGAGAACATATACAATTACAAACAGCAATCAGCAAAAGACTGGAAGGCAGGCACAGTTGGGGCCACCTAGATCATGGGAGGGTAGGAAATGAAGCTCTAAAGTTGGGCTATAAATATTAATAAGGCAGTGTGTGCATTATGGCAGGGTAAGTTGGCCCGATGGACTTGAGATGATGCCATGGCTTTAAGGTTAAAGGTTTTTTTCTGTGGGCCAAAATCAGGCTCAATGTCATATGGATACCAAGAAGCTTCATGCCTAATTAAAGCACCTGCGTTCTAAGTATAAACACATAAAAGGGAACAAGCATTAAGTAATGGAGAAGGTGGTAGGTGGACATTCATGAATTGTTTCTGTGGACTGGTGATACTATGTGTGTCAAGGAGAAGGAATCTGCAGAAGGAACCCAGCAGGAGCAACCAGGACCTAAGAAAGCAATCTGCTAAGTGGGAAAGACTGCTGTTTTCAGAGAAAAGACCAGATATGAGCAAGGACAGTTTGGCAAAGGCGTTGGAATCCAAGAAGCCCCAAAAAGAGTCATTTCTCCTCCCTAGGACAGAAGCAAGCCTAGAACTGAAAGTACATAAACAAGCTGTGTGAAGGAGGAGGTGAAACAGAGAAGAAACTGTAAAAAGCTCTCTTTTCAATCATCTGCATAGAACTGTGCATGAATAGCTTGTTACGCTAAAGCCACTGTATATGTTAAATATCACTGTAAATAGAGAAGAGTGTGTGTGTGTGTAAGGTTCCGGTCTCTTTTCCCCTACTTCCACACTTCCTGTGCTTCCAGGATCTAGCTGTTTTTGTCAAAATGATGAAAACAGGACTGTCCTGTTGCTCCACCCCTTCTGTATGTGAGTGTGAGGTCATGATGTCAATATGAGAGAGTTGAGGATTATATCCAGATGGTGAGATGCACTTTTGTCATTCTCTGGCAGACACACGGAGAAATGTAAAGGATACAAAACAATGCTGTATGTTGGGAGTGTGTGTGTGTATGAGTCAGTGAGAGAAAGAAAAATGTTAGCTTCTTAAGAAAACAGGTTACTGATGAAAAGTTCAAGAAAACTGTACAGAAAAGCAGTGAAATTATCATACATACATTATGTATACAAAAAATAGTCTAAATTTCATCAGCATAGTATATGAACAATATAATATGAACCGAAAGAGTGGTAAGATCAAAAGGAATTTCTGCCACATTTTTACAATGTAAGGAATGTACAATTAACAAAATATTTTACTTCCATATGAAAAAAAATGTACTCCAATAGCAATGAGTACCTCTATTTTTATTAAAAGGTACTGAGTTACAATCTCCTTGGATACAACTCTTTAGATAAGGTATAATTTGTAATTTCCTTTCTCACATTTAGAAATTTATTTCCTGAGAGTCTCTACTTGGCCAGCCTGCATTTCCCACTGGTGAAAAGTACTGGAAAAAGAGATTTAATAAATAATAATAAAAAGAAAGAAGCACAAAGTATTTCAGTGATGACTATGAGAAATTAGTTAGCACTAACTATGACTGGATACATACGTCACTTGGAATGATGCAATTTTTATTTTTTTTTGGCCCATGATGGCAGGGCAATGCAGCAAGACTTTCATATCTCCATTTTCCTTTGCTGTTTAATCAATATTTTGTCTCTTCTCCTTTGTTTTCAATTTTTTAGCGTATTTCTTGGTTTGTTTTAGTAAGGTTTCTTATTTTTAAAGTCTTTTTGAATTGCTTTTATGCATTCCTTCCAATGAGGAAGAAGAAGAAAAGGACTCGAACAAACTCTGGGTCTGCAAGTCCCAAGAAAACACTAAAACAATTAAGGATTAACGTATTAGTCTCTACCTTGATTCTATGCCAGTAAGTACAGAAGTTTCATTTACTGTAGCCAACCAATCTGAGCCTTTAGCAGCCTTGGAACTGGAGCCAGAATTAGAAGCAGAAACAGTAAACAACTATAATATGTCAGGTTCACCCTCTTCAGATGCTACTTTCAAAGTGTCTTATTTCAATGCAGAATTTGAAGATTGATTTATACACCCTTCTCCTCCCGAGGGATGGATCGCCAGTTCTGATCTTATTAAATATCTTTAGAAATAGTTCTACGTTACTAGGATTAGTTTATCAGAACAGCTACATAAGAGAAATACGACTTGGATCAAATTACAACCACACCAATGCATTAAGCAGAGAAATATTGTGATTGCAGAACATCCTGGGACTTTGTTTTTAAAAGAAAAAAATAGAAAAAGAAATGATAAATAAAAACACTGAAGAGTGGTAAAATTACCATGATGTGATATGGATGTCCTTGAGGAGGCTGATAAATTTGTCCATTAGTGGAACACAAAGTGGTCCCAGGATGGTGTCCCAATTAGGTTGGATGTACTCAGATGCTCTCCGCTGTGCATCACTTTCACAACAAAAATAATCATCGCATGATGATACAGTGTATGGAATGAAGTGATAGTTGCCACTTGAAGCCTGAAGAAGACAACGCATTAAAATATTAAATATTAAAAGAAAGTAAAACAAAGATAATTCATGTAATGAATAATTTCAATTTGAATCACTTAGGGAACAAAAAACAAATACAAGGTGGCAATAACTGATACAGAAATGCACGCAGTCTTGCCAATTTACAAAGCTCCTCTGAAGTTTATGCACAATACACTCAGCTTTCAACCAGTCATCATATAAGACCATATAACAGGACATAAACGCCTATGCAAGGAAGTTCCACAATTTCAAATGCAGTTTTGCAAGCCTGCATTAAATAACACATTGAATATCACTAAGTAAGTGAGGCTTAGGGACTCCCTTTAGAATGCTAAGCACTTCTTTCCATGAAGACTGCAATTAATGGAAACATATCCTTGGAAATAAGATCTTAATTTAATCTACAAAGTTAAGTACTTCCTCTGTAGTACCTGCAAGGAAAGAGAAAATCTATTATAATTTTATAGGAATCCATATAGGCTTAAAATGGAGTTCTTCCCACTTCTAAATCTACTGAAGCTAATATACAGATGATCCTTCTCATATAGAGCTGTATCAAAAACCATGAAAAAATGCAGAACCCTATTCAATAAATTGAGAAGGTTTCCAAAATGCAGCACTACAAACAATTAAATATGTAATGGTGTAAATGCTAAACTCCTGTTTCAGCCTTCATTTTGAAGTTCTTCCTGCCAGAGAGGAAGGGCATTTAAAATAACATAGGCAGCTCAGAGAGAAAGCAAGTTTGTTACACTGAGGTTTAACCTACATTATCCAAAATCCCATGCCTTTTTGTAGTAGAGAAAAGATAGTCCCCAGTTTGAGAACGAGTTCCGTTCCCAAGGTCTGTCCTTAAGTTGAATTTGTACGTAAGCCAGAACAGTATTATTGTATAATACTGTATAAATAGTATTGTGTGACAAACTCAAACCATTGTGTATTTAACTCGAATCATTCTATATTTAACTCAAATTTTGCTATAATAGGCTCCATTCTTAACTATGGGTTGTCTATAATCCAGGTGTTCTTAACCTGGGGACTACCTGTATTACATAAGTGATATTTGTTTAGTCAGGAAGCAGAGGATATGCTAGTTGCCATGTTTGGAAGTGTGAGTATGTCTGAAACATGTCAAGCCAATTAAATTAAAATTCTGATTAAGACACTTTAAACATAGCTTCCTCAATTTTTCTGCATTTGTTCAAAAGAAAACTAGACTTGCCCAGGTTGTAGTAGCTTTATGTTCTAGGCATGCACATGTCCTATAAAAGTGCTTTTAAATGTTAAATCCCCAATCAGCAGTTGAAAAAGCCACATGCTTTTTCCTCAATGTGTACAAGCCACATTATACAACCCCGTAAACAAGATCCCATTTTCAAAGAAGCATAAAATCTTACCATTTCTAAACAATTCCTAGTTTTTTTCCACTACTTCTGCACTGTACTGTATTTTTAGCTCTAATAGTAGAGAATATATTTAGCACATGGTTGAATTATTGGATTCTTGCTGTTCTCTGACCTTGATTTTTTTTATGCAGATGTTTCATTACCAGACTAGATAACATCATCGGTGCTCTGACATGGGGGAATGAGTTTTGTTGGCTATTTATATTTAGCAGCTTGTCCTTGTATGAGTTTGGGCAGGATGGTGATCCTATTTCTTCTTTCATTGGCATGCTGTTATCTGGTAGTGTATTAGTGTATTAATAAGGTGTTGGTTTCTGCTTATATGAAATTGATTAATAGGTATTTGATAAGGGAGAATGTGGTCTGGACTGTTTGTCCCTTTCTTTGACTTTGGATGTTCCTTTTGAATGGTTCTTAAATGGGGTTTATTTCTACTGATTACTAATGTGTCACAGTGCCAAGGTTACAGACCCAAGATCTTGCATTAACTTGAGTACAGCTTTCCAGTTGAAATTGTGATTGAACTTGTCCACATGCTTTGCAATCAATGCATTTTCATCATGCCTGCCTGTGATTCTAGAGTTAGTCATCAGCCATCAATCATCCATTGATTGCCTAATTCTCCATTAATGTTTCTGTCTCCTTTTCAACTCCCTCTGAATTGGGGACTTCAGTCATCTGATGGGAGTGAATTACACAGTTCTGATGGCAGTGAATTACACAGTTTATCAATTATTTCTTATCTGTTTTCAAAAATGTTGAGACCAGGAAAAACAACCCTCCATTCATATTTCCCACATCATATGTAAATATATTGTGTCCTTTAAGGCCTCTAAGCTAAAAAACTCCATATGCCTTATTTTTCCTCATAGGGCAGATATACTATAGCCCTCTACTCATTCTAATTACTTTTTTGTTGATTTCAGGTGTGAAATGTCTGAATTGTTCCAGAGAAGTACATCTCAGGGACTCCAGGGAAAGGGAGGTGCCATCCTATGTAACAACTGCCATAGCTTCAGAGATGGTAAGACCAAAACACACTAAATAGGCCCTTTTCTACCCTCCTGCCTTCCCCTCTATTACTATACTACCCCAGGATTCTGGGTCTGATCCTGAATCTGGGCTAAACTGGGCTAAACTGATTTGTGAACAGCTGGCTACAAGCCACTATAGGCTTTCTGCCAGGAAAGGAAGGATCCCATTGCCATGACATTAGAACTAGAACTCCCTCACAAGGGCTTCCTTTCAGCTGGCTTCAGCTGCAGCTTCATTTACAGCTATTCCCCCACTGAGAGATCAGCAGAGACATGAAAACTGACTGGTTCAAGAGCTTTGGATGTTCATTGGACAGGCCACAGAATGTTAAATTGGAGACAGTGTCTCTCCTCAGACATTTTAATCATTATGTGATTATAAGAGAAACAACACCAACTCCTTCTGCCTTTCCCAACATTGATGTCTCCTGCTATGGGAGCTGCAGCCAAAACATATTTCCAGATAGTTTGGAATATAATATATAATATAT